AATATGGGTGATGTCCTTTCTATACAAGAATGAATATAGAATTTTAAAACCTGTTGAACTCACCCAAAGAAGAAAACTAAGGTAGAAAGTAGAAAAATGAAGGTGATGAACCAATTCAGGATACAACACTTAAATGCATGGAAATGTCTTGATGACACTCTATAGATATCTTAAACAAACAAAACGTCTCTATTTTTTTCCCAAAAACAGGAGACAGGAAGGTAAACACAGGTCCTGTCTGGGTGTTGATACCAGTGAGAGGGAGGAGAATCTAAGAAGTAAGAGGGTGAATATGAGGGGAAATATTAAGTATTAAGTAAGAAATATTAAGAAATATTAAGTAAGAGGGGAAATATTACAAACTCATGTATGAAGATTGAAAAGTGACACCTGTTGAAACCTGTTGAAGAACTTGTCATGGTTGCAGTGGCACATCCTCATGCTGTGTCACCCAAGTTTCATGCTTACTGGAAATTATTCATGTATCAATACTCAGATCAAGTTAGTGAAAACTGCCATCATCCTAGCATGTTCTATATGCTAAGCCCACCTTCTCTCTGCTTGGACGTCACCATTCTGACAAGCATGGTATCATGAACTGACTGTGCCATGAACTGACAATTAAGAGGAGTTATTTCTCTTTTCTTTCTTTTTTTTATTTTAACCATATTGGGACATGAACTCAGGGCCTTCACCTTGAGCCACCCCACCAGCTCTGTTTTTGTGAAGGGCTTTTCAAGATAGGGTCTCAAGAAACTATTTGCCCCCTCTGGCTTCTATAAAGAAGAGAAAAATGGGCATACAGAAGAAAGAATGGTTAATACTCCCCTGAATGTGAAGAAAGGCAAACCCAGTAATGTTGTCAATAGGAAAACTAACAGTCCCTCCCAGAGATACATTTATAATCAAAATGCTGAAAGACAAAGTGAGAATGGTCAGGAAGGAATCAACGATTAAATTTCCAAAACTCACCAATAAGGTTAACAGACAGTTTATCATCAGAAACTGTTAAGGCTACCAGTCTTTGGAATAACATATTTAATACACTTAAAGAAAAATAAGACCACGTTCAAGTTTACTGCAAAGACACAGCAGAGATCTACCCACCAAAGTCACCCAGAGCAGAAGACCGCACTCCCACAAGCCAGTCACACACTTCTGGGCTTCCAGAGGCAGCAGGTACAGGAATTCCCTAGATGGCAGGGTCTGCTTCCCTTTTAGGACCCACCAGGCACACAGTGGCCAGCTTGCTCCTGTAATCCTAGGTACTCAGGAAAGAGAGACCAGAAGAGACCCTGTCTTGGGAAAAAAATCATCACACACACACACACACACACACACACACACACACACACACACACAAGTAGTGGTGGTGTGGCTCAAGGTCTAGTCTCTGAGTTCAAACTCCAGTACTGAAAATAGAAAAGAAGAAAAAAACCCAAATGCAAAAATAAAAGGGCTGTTGGATTGGCTCAAGGGGAACAGTATTTAGAATACACAAGGGGCATTTTTGTTGGAATAGGACATGCATGACATTAAAATTTTTCAGGTCATTCCATGTAACATATTCAAATTCTTTTAAGTGTTAGAGCATTCAACATTCATCCTCATTATCAATCTGTTTTTTTTTCCTTCTATCTACCACTGACATCATACATTTAATCTACAGCTATGCCTTTTTCCCTCCCCAAGAACTTGATTCAGCAATAAAGGAAGCACAAAGATTTAAAAAAATATATCCCATCAATAGCAACCTTGGATGCCACTGGGGATCCTGAAAACTGAATTTGGGGAGAGGAATATTTGAAGATGCACCCCCAAATCAGGAACCCTCTATGTGACTGGACTCTGACTTGGAGTGGGGATCAGGTCAAGGCCAGCGCAAGACAAGTTCTAAAAGCCACTAAAACAGGGCAACCACCTCCTAGACATCACCTATCCAGACAATTCTTGAAAGCTCTTGAGAATTTCCCCCTAACTTTCACTCTGCAAGGCACAAGGACCAGGCAAGAGCAAGGGGACAGCAGCACTTCACTCTAAAAGGTTTCACTTCCCTGGTGGCTCCAGAGTTCAGACTGACCCAAGACTTCACTAGACAGGCACCAAAGCAACCAGGAGGAGTTAGGGGGCAGCCTGTGCTGGCAGGATATAAGCTTTGGAGCAGAACTGGTGGGCCTGGCCTGGACCTTCAGGTAAGGCCAAATAAATGCCCATCTGAAACTTCTATCTCAGTTTGACAGAAGAGGCAAAGTATGTGTGTGTCCTTTTTCTTTTTTCTTTCTTTTTTTTCCTGTAGTACTGCAGTTTGAACTCAGTGGCAAGCACTCTACCACTTGAACCACTCCACCAGCACAAGAAGGGTGTCCTTGAGAGGACAGAGCCTTCCCTTCTTTTCCCAGGAGCAGTTCCAAAGTCACTAGCTCTGAGGAGAACCACGCCAGTGAAAATACTGAATTGTAGCTAAGACCAGGGAGCTGTATGATCTTTCTTTGGTCACTTTAGAACCAAAAAGACTGCAGACAATGAGATTAATACCTGGCTCTGCCTGGAGAACCCTGGCTGATGACAGCCACTGGCTGGCTAGTCACATATCCCTCCCACCTGACCTAGTCTGGCCCATGCTTTGGGTTCCTTTCTAGTCTGGCTGCAGCACCCTGTGCCAGAGCCAAGTCTGCTTTCTCTGACCTTGGGTTCTGGGTTAGGAAGGTAGCCACTGGCCAGATGCCAGAGTCCTCCTACCTGTTTCTCCATCTGCACACTGGCTTGTGGGACTCAGCTGACATGACCCACTTTGGGGCTCGTCTTCATCCCTGACTATCTCAAATATTAGAACATGACACTATTATTCTGTGACTAGAATGCGACTGCATTTGGAGCTGCTTCCGCGGTGGCTGAGCCCAGGGAAGTGCCCACCACCATAAGACTCAAAAAACGTCACTCCGGAAAGGCCCTGGCTCTGGTTCCGCCACCTGGGACCTGCTTTGCTTGGGGCCCCTGCCCCTGACAGCTCCAACACACAGCACATGTGTATGCTGTGCTGCTATGCTGGGGACCGTGCAGAGCAGGAGTTTTGGCGCCACATCCATGGGTTGCAGAACGCAACCCCAAGGCCCTTGTCCAGGTGTAGATGACCAGTTTCTGGGCTCCTGATAAATGATGTCGACCCCAGTCCACACAGGACTGTAGCACCTCCTTGCCTCCTCTGCCCCACAACACACACCCACTCAATTGGTCTGGTTGCACTTTCACAAGCTCCTTCTACTCAGTGCCTCCAGGTGTCCTGGCAAGTTGGTGTCTCAGTGTCCTATTGCTCTTGCTTACTCTGTTAAACCCAGTTGAAGCCCGAGAGTTTAATCTGTCCTTGGTTTTGGACAGTATTATAGCAAAGGTGCTGATCCGACATTTCTGTTTTTAAGGGTGTGATGAAAATAAACCACTGAACATGTGAGAAGCTATGAGAGCAGTGCTGATGGGAATTTAAGACTCTTTAGGCTTGTGTTAGAAAACAAGAGTCTCAGTCAAGCCCCCACCTCAAAAAAGCAAGAAATGGGTGAAGAAAAGAAACCAAATAGTTCACCAGATGCTATCCCAAAAAACATTCATCACAAAAAAGTGGTGGTGGAGTGGCTCAAGGAACAGGCCCTGAGTTTAAATCCCAGTACAGCAAAAGAACAAACAAAAACCAGATGGAGAAAATAATCAAGCTAAGAGCAGCAATCCATTGTCATGAAAACAGAAAAACATTAGAGAAAACCAAAACAGCAAAAACTTCAAAGACTTGGAAAACAAAGAACAGAAGACACAAATTGCAGGAACAAGAAATGAGACAGAGTCTACAGTCCCGGCAGTCTTCCCAATATCAAGAGGATAATAAAGGAAAGTACAAATAGCAATATATACATAAATTCAACAATCCAGATGAACTGGACCAGTTGCTTCTAAGTAGAAAAAAAAATCACATTTCACCTTTTACAAAGCAGACCTTTTGATCTTACAACCGGAAGGGAACTTGGAGTCATTTTTTAAAAAATCCATGAAAATATCCTCCATCTACAGCTGGTTTTGCTGGAGAGATTCTGCAACAATTTAAGGAGGAATTTATACCAATTCTACAATGTCTTCCAGAAAATCTGGGAGATAACACTTTCCAGCTGTTTCCCTGAAGCTATGATTGCAGTGATTCCAAAACCAGGCAACAACAATAGAATAAATAATAAAACTACAGTCAAAAAAGCTTTCATGAATTTTGGTGAAAAAAATCATAAGCAAAGGTTAGCAAATAGATTTCAGCAACCTATGAAAGGAAATGTAAACTATGAACAACTGGGTGTTATCTCAGGATACAAGGGTGTTTTCAAAATTTGAAAAGAGTCTCCAGAGAGATAATGACATGAATTAATCTATTGATAAAGAAAAAGCATTGACACAATTCAGTGCCCATTCATGATAAAATTGCTCAGAAAACTGGAAGAGAAAGACATTTCCACCACTTCATAAAGAAAGGCTACAAAAGAAAACTGTAAAGGTAAACGAAAAATCACCACAGAAACAAAAACAAAATGTCTTCCACTAAGCTTGATAACAAAACAAGGAAGTGCACTCTGAGCATTGCAATTTCCCAGGAGCATTCTAAGTGGATGGATAAGCCGAAGAAAAGGAAATAAATGGCCTACATTGACAAGATTAAATGGGTGTACTTTTTGTTCAGGGTAATGCACATAAAGCAAATAGGAAAGGACTCCAAATGTTGGAAAAAAGAAAGCAGAAAGATCGCAGCTTGGAGACCAAAGAAGACCAGGTGGTGCATTCCCTGGATTTTCTTTTCCCCCATCTATTTCAGGGTTAGTGCTTGTGGAATCTGCAATCCAGGAATGTCAAGAGATGCTGAATTAAAGGGGTCCAATGCGATACTGCTCTCCATAGTCAAAAGACCAAGAAAAAGGAAAGTTGAATGAGCTAGATGTTTTCAGGGTGTGGGCAGGTTTGAAAGTTACACCATGTGTCTCTGGATGGGTTTGAACCACCAACCTTTTGGGTAACAACCAAAAGCACTAACCAACTGTGCCACAGATGCTCAAGGACTGTTTCTGCTCAGGATGCACAGGGAAGATCAGTCACTTCGTGCCACTCCCTCAGCCTTCCGGCCCCTCAGGGCGCCTGCTGAACTTCCTAGCCTTGGATTACCTGGGGATGTGGGCGGTGCCCAGTGCACTTGGCACGTTGGAAACCCATGCAGTGGGGCCCAAGGGCGCCCTATGGCTTTGAACTGAGCTGCCCTTCACCTGCTTCAGAAGCCTGCCTTCACCTCACTCTTCCTGTTCTCTACTTGCTGTCGCCCAGGGAACAGGCCCAGTGTCCCTCACCAACCTGGCACGGCAAAGCGTCCACTGATATCTGGGATTCTTGTACCATCACAAGGGCTTCCCCATCACAGGGCTCATCCCTGAACTGGACTAATGGGATAGAAGAAGAATTCTTGGAGTGAAATCTTGCTCAAGGCAGTGAATGCGATCCTCAGAAAGGCAAAATACAAAAAAATCAGTAGGAACAGCAAGCAAACCAAAAACAGAGGAAAAGCAGAAATAGAATTTGGCTGGTTCATGTGAGATGGTTCTCTTCAAAGCCACTGCTTTGAAGTCTAGGGATATATTGATGAAACTTTTGTTTTTCATGACGTAAAGTTTTAGGCCTTGACCAGTGAGTGGTTTGATTCCTTTTCCAAATACATCCTAAAACAAGGGTACCAGTAAGGTACTGGTGGTTCAGTAGAAGAATTCTTGACTCCCACGTGGGAGACCCAGTTTCAATTCCTGGCAAGTGCAGGCTTGTTTTTCCCCCACCACTGCTTTTGAGTTATCAGGCAAATCAGGTCGTTTCCACTTTTTGACTTCTATGAAAGGCCACCTGAGAGAAAATAAATGCAATATACATACTGATACCAAGTTTGTTTCCTGAGGACTACTCTTCAGTAGTGTCTGGAAGAGTACAGTTGGTGAATCTGTCTCCTCTCTGCTCTTTTGCATATTAGGCTAGAAAACCAATGGTGGCTTTTTCTTCCTCTAGCAGATGCCTGGAAACCAGGTTCCTGTATGCAAGGATTCACTTCCTGGACATTGTACAAGCCACTGCGCTACTCTCTGTAATGAAAAGAGAATAAGGGAGGAGATTCCCTGAGGAATAAGAGCGGTGAGCAAGAAACATGGTCAGTGGTGGGATTGATTGTAAAAGTTCCAGAAGGATAAAAAGTGTAATGACAAAAGACTATGGTTGAAGTATTGAAAAACAATTTAGCAACTGCCAGCTCTATTCACTGATTTTTTAAAAAATGTTTATTTGAAACAAATTTATAGAAATTAGACCTTAGACAAAAATTTTTTAATAAAATTCAAAAAAAAACCTTTAAATCCCATTTACAAGCTCCTAATTAGGCAGCCAAAACAGCAAAACTTCTAAAACAACCAATATTTTCCTTGGTCCCTAATCTAAGAGTTGATTCCTGAATGCCTGGTTTTTACTTAGACCTGACAGAGTTAATCAATTTTCTTTAATACAGCCTTTGCACATTTACAACAATAACACATGTAAGCATGTATATTAATTTAGAGTACTCTCAGACAGACCTTTTTCATTTTTTTAAATTTGTAAAATGATAATTTTTTTTTATGATTGTATCAGCACATAATAATTGTACAGGGGGATATACTGTGATATTTACATATGTGTTTAAAATGTATCTTAGTTGGATTTACCCCCTCCACCATTCTCCCTGTTCCCCTCTCCCTCCCTTCTTAGAACAATTTCAAAAAGTTTCATTCTTCTATTTTCATATATGGATACAAAACATATCCACCATATACATCCTCCTTCCCCATTTCCTTGTGACCCTCTTCCCCCACTGATATCCACCACAGGAAAAGATTTATTTTTCCCTCCTGCCCTCATTTTCTTAATTCAGTGTACATTGATAGTCCAAGGGGGTTTCACCTTGGTAGTTCAGGTCTGTATATATTGTTTTTTAAATTAACTCTGCCCCCTCCATTACCCAGTCATTCTCTACCACCATGCTTCCCTCATATTCAGCAGCTCCCTGTACAGTGCATTATATTATATTCACATATAGCTGGGTTGTTTGAATAGTTTTCTTTTTTTAATTCATTCTTTAACACTTTTTTATCTCTCCCAACTCCTTTAGCCCCTTTAGACACACTCACTAATACAATTTTGTTCTCTCTGTCACTATGTACATATACACATGAGTATATGTATGATCATATATGTTTCTACATATACATTTAGCTTACAGGTCTATCTTCCACATATAAGAGAATACGTGTGACCTTTGATTCTTTGTTTACTTTTAGCCATAGATTAATTGCAATCCTCTTTAGTGGGTAACAAGATGCCACAGACCCCATGACTTCCCTCCTCAGTGTCATCATGGCAGCAGAGATGGCCCATGTGCAGTTGGGCTCCTGGGGGAGACATGGTGGCCCCTGCCACATGACAGCATTTCCCCACCCCCTCCAGACTTGTCTGTGACCTCCAGGTTTTTCCAAAGTGCTTTCAGATGGAATATAAAGCCATGTTGCACACAACATGCAAACATAGATCATATAACAAATGGGGAACTTTTCTCATGTTTTGGGCCCACAGACTCCAGAAGTGGCGGAACCAAATATTGAGGGGCACTCCCAAACTAAAGAGGCTTGTTCTAATTCCTGATAGGCTGGGAAGAGAGGGAAGACAAATGAAAGACTCCTAAATCTACCTGGACTTTAACCAACAGTGCAAAAATGAAAGAAAGTCTGGAGAGTAAAAGGCAGAGGGTGGAACAGCAATGTCATCCTGGGAGATTTCCAGAGGAAAGAAATAGGGAGGGAGATGTAATTCCTCATGAAGGAGAGTCAGAACAGGATGCATTGGACCTATGTCCCTGTATTTCCTGATCCTGAGAGAAGGACATGAAGGAAGAGGGTCTATTTTTTTGTTTTGATGACCCTCCTTACTGATTTCCATAGTGGCTCCCCTATTTTGCAATCCCACCAACAGTAGTATATGTGCTCCTTTCCCTACCCCCCCCCACATACTTATGATCTATTGTTTGTTTTCTTGGCATTCTGACTGGGGTGAGATGGAATCTCATTGTAGTTTTCATTTGCATTTCCTTTAGGGCAAAGATGTTGAATATTTCTGCCTATATTAATCACTCATTTGTACTTCTCCTGAGAACTGTCCATTCAGTTCATTTGCACATTTTTAATTACTTTCTTTGCACTTTTGCTGTTTAACTTTTTTGAGATCTTTGTATGTCCAGATAGAAATCTTTTATGTGTTGAATACCTGGAAGGATTTTCTCCCATCCTATGGGATATCTCTTGATTCTGGTAACTGTTTTTCTTGATGCACATGAGCTCTTTAAGTTACTTTAACCCCATTTGTCTATTTTTGCTCTTATTTCTGGGTAATTGAAGTTCTATTTGAAAAGAATAGCTTATGTCCACATCTTCCAGAATTTTCCCTGTTTTCCTGTAAAAGTTTCAAATATTACATTAAGATCTTTGTCACATTTTAAAATGACTTTTGTACATGAGGAGTGATCTGTCTTCTGCATGTAGATACCGTTCTTTTCAGGGCCATGAGTTAAAGATGCTGTCCTCTCTGCATTGTATGTTTTTGGTTTCTTTGTCAGAAATCAGATGGCTCTTTGTTCAGTGTGTTTATTTCTGTGTCCTCTATTCTTTTCCATTGGGCTTTTTTACTGTTATATTGTTGCTATTTTTGTTACTGTCCCTGATGTATAATTTGAAGTCCAGTATTATAATACCTCCAGCATTACTCTTTATGCTTTTGCTATTCAGGGTCTTTTATGTTTTAGGATTAATTTTTCCACTTCTGAAAAAGTTGATGTTGCAATTTTGATGGCAACTGCATTAACTCAGTAGATTGCTTTAAGTAGTATAGCCATTTTCACAACATTAAATCTGCCAGCCAAAAAACACACAAGGTCTTTCCATCTTCTAGGGTCCTTTTCAATTTCATTTGGTAAAGTTTTTTTGTTTTCATTATAGAACACTTTCATATCCTTAGTTAAATTTATTTGTTCATGTGTTTTGAGTTAAGCTATGGGTCCAAGACTAATGACTGCAGCATGATTTGTAATCATAATATCATGAAAGTAACTGTTTTGCAAAAAAGATTTTCAAACAAGTTAACTACATAGTGCAGGAAGTAAGGAGGAAATTGGTTTGAGATAATGAAGAGGATGCTCATGATGATGGCCCCTGTGGTGGACACAGTATTGTATAAATCCATGTCACCCTCAGATGGGATACTCCTGTTGACATAGGAGTTGCACATAGAAAGTGAGGCCCAGTTTTCCTTTGGCATCCAAGCCTCCAAAAGACTGAAGCAGAGCTATTGTTTTCCTGTCTTGTTTGACAGGAAAATGAATATTTGAGTCCCCAAAGTCTGAAGGGCATATGTTAGTAGCTGCTGTGTGACTAGAAAATCTGAGGTGAGGTGGCCAGGGACAGGTTCACAATGACACCAAGAGTCCCTGGGTGGTCTTGAACCACCAAGCTTTCAGTTAACAGCTGAATGCACTAACAGACTGCACCACAAAGACTCCAGCATTGTGCCTGTTCAGGATGAGGATGTACATGGAAGGCCTGGTCACTGCAGCCATCCCCCAGGGCCTGCAGGCCTCCCAGGGTGCCCACTGAGCTGCAAAGCCTTGGAGTACTTGGAGACAAGGGCGGTGCCTAGTGCATTTGGCCCCTTGGAAGCCCAAGGGGTTTACCTAAGATCTCAGTGCACACCGTGCTCTGGAATTCTCCAAGGTAAAGTATATGAAAGGAGCTCTGAGCACTCATGATCGGAAGTGAGGGCCTGCCTCTTCTCTGGCTTATCGCTGTTTTGCATTCCTGAAATGCTGTAGCACCACAGAGGTAACTATAGAAGACACTGGGGGGATGCGTTTCCAGTGCCTAGAGGGGAACTTCCAGGAGTTGGCTGGAGGGTGGCCTATGGAGCATGCTGGTCATTGTGGGTAGGTGGATGTGTGAAGCTATAGCG